CTTCGAACGGCGATCGTTGTTATGGTAACAGACGTGAGGCCAGCCATCGGCCCGAGAGTCGGTCTCCGTCTTCGCGCCGATACCGACAATATCGTGGACGAGACGGCCGTCGAGTGTCCACCAGTTCCGAGTCGAGTGCTGTCGCCAAATATTAATGTCCGCAAAGGATCGGTTCCGCTTTCATTGACAGGTCTGGCCATATGTTTGGACACATATTTCTCCCATTAATAGTAATGCTTTATTTCTGACAAAACATTTTGTTTAGCGTTTTTCTTCTTAATATAATTCATAATATAATTTACAATATAAATACTAGTATTAAATTAATATTTAAAATTCATAATTAAAATTTATAATTAAAATTCATTATAACTTATAATTATAATTTATAACATACCGTTAAATTGTATCTTTTTTTGTGCTAAAAACGTGATAATTTTAATTGATTTTTAAATTTCAATTTGAATTTTAAATAAAAGTTATTTTTTAATCATTCAAAGCGTTTAATCGATTATATTCTGTGGCCTCAAGTGCTTTACCTTTAACTGAAAATAAAAGTTTTAAATACATTTATCTCACATTCAGTACAGTATAAGTATTTATACTGAATGTTATTATCGATTAACTAATTTAATCTGATTTTTACTTTTTTATAATTCATTTTAATTTACACTGATTTTTAATATAATAATAATTTTAATAATAAATGGCATTTATTATATACAGTATATATAGTTATACTTATTTCAATTATAATATAAAGTAATTATAAAGTTTTATAATATACACCAGTATTACATTCTTTAGTAAAAATGATATCAAATATTAAAATCGTGATAATTGTCTCACTTTTCTGTAATTAAAACATATAATTATCCGCAAAATATCAAAAATAGCACTCATTTATTATAACTATTAATGCATTAATGCATCGATTATAATATGAGACAATATTATAATTAATTAATTAACTTAATGAACGGTTTAAAGCATGATGATAATCGCGTAATTTTGTATCCAGCAATTTAATCAATCAATATATAAAGTATAATGAGATAATGACTTACAAAAAGGTGATAGCAATACAATATACATATAACAATAATTACACGAATGGTTTGTTGGGATTATCATAAGCTATGCTAACATGAAATCTTTGATATGTATCTGAAGTATAGTGTGTTTGACGTCGTCGAAGACTTTCTTGATATTGTCGGTATCGGTGGCACACGTGAAGTGACTGTAGATAGTCTTGTCTTCGCACGGATTGCACTGCAAATACATGCTCTGAATGAACTCTCGGGCGGGCATCGGGTCCCTCAACGGGCCGTTGTATTCGGGAAAGTAGTCGACAACGTGTGAGTTGTGGACCTTCTCCTCGAATAAGTCCTTTTTGTTGAGAAACAATATGACCGAAGAGTTCTCGAAGTACTCGCAGGCGATGAGCACTTTGAACAGAGCCAACGACTCCTCCATACGGTTCTGTTCGCACAAACTGTTGTTTCCCTCAACCAATCGCTGGTCGTATTCGTTGAGCGCCGCCAAGAATATAATGGACGTCACGTTCTCGAAGCAGTGGATCCACTTTCGCCGCTCCGACTGCTGGCCCCCGACGTCCACCACTCGGAACCGCACCGAACGTAACTCAAACGTGTATTCATTGATACCGGTTGTCGGTATGCGGACGTGTAGTATGTCTTGTTTGGTGGGCGTGTAGTCCCTGGCGGACAGTCTGTCAATGTCGTCGAAGTAATACTTCGCCGAATCACTCAATTTATACTCGTTTCGGCGTTTGTAGCACTTCTGCACTCCCGAGTCGTCCCACCACTCCTTTATGGCGGCCACCGTCTGATCGGTGAGTTGTGTCAAGTGATTGGTTGTGTAGTCGACGTGAATGTCGGCCAAGAACTTGGAGTTACAATAATTCAACTCATTGTCGTAGCGAATGTCCAAATCGCACATCGCGTTGATAATGGCCTGAATGGCGACCACAATGTTGTGGTAGACGTACGGCACGTAACCCTTCCTCTCGGTCTCCAACTCGAGTTTGGCGTCTTTATGAATGATTCGCATTTGTTTCAAGAATGTACTTTTGCCCGACTCTCCCGTTCCCAGCAATAGCAGCTTCAGCTCATTCCTCGCCTCCTTCTTCGCCCTCTTCAGCGACTGTTCAATCATTTTATTCATCTTTTTCTGCTCTTTGGAGTGACTGATGTCATCACAACACGAGAACATCTTTGCGATCACCCAAAGGATCAGTCAATCCACGTCTCAAACAATTGTATTATTTATTATTCTCTCACAAACACCGCAAAAAAGCATCAAAAAATTTCACACTAAAAGTCCTTCAAATTATGTAAATTATTATTTGTTAAAAATCAATAAATAAATCACAATAATTATAGTTGTAAACGAAATGTTGAAAAACACTATTATATCAATCGGTTGTGAAAACAAAAAACAAATTTCAGTGTAATTTTGCGTAAAAATTGATTTTTTATAAATAATTTTCTTTAATTTGATTGTGATTTGAATTTTAAAATAAATCACTTTGTTTTACAGACAACTTTTTTTCAGTCCATTTGCGTATTTAAAGTCATTGATATACACATTAGGCGTGAATTTATATATTTATAATACAAGCCACACTTACACCATGAGCAATTTTAATAGTATGAACAAGGTTATTTAAATGATATTTAAATTAAGCAATTAAAATAGCGCTTCTTATACTACAAAACTATTCACAACTGATATATTAGACTGATTTTTGACATTTTTTGTCAAAATTTATTATTTATTTTTATAACACATTAAATAGAAATTAATTACTTTTTGACGAATTACTGAAGCGTTGAATTAATTAATTGGTTTTATTTGTCCGACAATTATATTATAAATTTTAATTAAAAGATCTTGAATATCAAAATTAAGGACATTATATCACAAAAGGGAGTAATAATTCATTTGTAATGAAAATAATTAATACTTATATTGAGAAGAAATGACAATATATTTCACAATTAATGTCTGCAGTAATGAAGTAAACGAAATGTAATGAAAATATTTTATAGCAAGTGTTGTCTCAACAATAAAAGTGTATTTTATTTTCATTGATAAGACGAGAGTTTAAGAAAACCCCGGCTATGGTTGTTATGATTGTTGTATAGATTAAACCAAACACTTTTTACTTCATCTCTGT